GTGATGAGACCCAGCAGAGAATTCTTCTTGGCTTGCAGATCGGCATTCAAATACTTCAGAAACGGGTCTGACGTGATACTGTTTGTTTTGACTGGACCCGTCTCATACTGGGTGATGAGATACTCCATGTCACTGTGGTTTGTTATCGTGTCGTTTTGGAACTGGATTGCTGTTAGACGTATACGCTACTGTAGTGAAGGATATGGGGGACGTACACGCAACAGTGCGTCAAGAACTTTCTTTGTTGCTTCTTTCTTCTCCAAAGCCTCACCCTTGAGTACATTGAGCGACGCGTTTGCAATATCCAAGGCATTTCTGTAGGCATCATCCTGGGTGTCTTTGGAGGTGTACTTCTCATTGAATAGTATCTCCAACTGTGATCTCAAGTTTACGTTATCCATATCAGAAAGCCACATGGTAGCATTGTCGCTATAGAGAATAGCGTCCTGTGCACAACTGACTTGACGACATTATTAGCAGGCGCAATTATAAAGTTGTCTGACTGAGAAGCTTACTGAGACTGTTAAGATGGTTGTTGGCGAAATCAGAGCAGCTCGAGCCGATGTTCACCATTGTCTTTCGGGTCGTCTATTGCAAACGTAAGTATCAATTCAACGAGTGATTGTGTAGATATGTACCGCGTATATATCAGGATCAGCATCGGTCAGTTTATGAAAGGCATTTTTGCTGATCTGTTTCTCGAACTCTTCGTCGGTAGTGGGAAACGATTTGCCAGTTTCTGCATAGTCCTTGACGGCTTTTCATTGTCAGACAAAAACACAAAAACACGTATTATGGCTCACCAAAATATCCCTTTGAATTAAGAATGAATCTGGCTGGAGCTCCAGCAGCGTCAAGAGTGATAGTACGATCCACTGATGCACTGAGACTCTCAAATGCTTCTTTGGCTTTGATTTCAACTTCGGAGGTTGGCGTCCATGAGGTGACGGTGGTGGTTTCAGTCATTTTGTATCAATTAATGACAGGGATTTTCAACGTTGGACGAGTTTTGATGGCAAAAGATTGTGAAGTGGTAGCTGGTGTTGATTTTCTCAAGATTGTCGAGATATCATGTCTTCTTGTAGTGCACCTTTTCCAGGTTGGCCTATTCACTAGACGCAAAGATCCATGGGGGCTGAGTACCTGGTCGCACTGCTGCAAGCCAAAAGCCATTCATATGCACCAAGATATCGACCTGAGCTATCCATGACAGATGATGGCTGCGACTTTCTGACTTGCAGATCAGCGTGCGCACAGCGAAAAGGAAAAAGGCAAGGTCTAACTCGATGCGACTGCTCTATGCAGTGATATAAGTGTCATGGAGTATACGAAATCAAGCTGTTCGCTTGTGTGGAGAGCTGAAGGGATGCGGGGTGCGGGGCGCAGGCCGTTCCATCACGGGCTGGAGCGAGCCAAGCTTACAGTAGGCGCAACATTTCAGCCCATAATCAGCCATACAGAGACTAACGCCTCGCACTATAATGCGCCACAACAAGTCAAGCCCTATGGCTATCTTTTCCCGTGGCTTCAGAAATAAAGTTTTCAGCTCCAGGAGAACAAAATATAAAGCCACGCTGCACCCACGCCGACGAACATCTGTACATGCTCTGATTAGTCGCCCACAACATTCGCTATCCCGAACTAAGATGTAATGGTGGAGTTCTACGGGTATCATGCATGCAGGTTGATATTTGGATGGCTCATCGACATAATACCAGAGATGTCAACAATCAAGCTGAGTCAAGCTCATCAATCAAGCTGGATTGACTCAACGGTCAAGCTGAGTCAAGCCAAGCTCATCAAGCTGTATCAAGCTGTATCAAGCTCGTCAAGCTCATTAAGCTGAGCTTGATAGAGCTTGATGAGCTTGATACGCCCGTGCGTAAAAAAAGAAGAATAACTATGAACTCCTTTACGTAGGCTACTAATCTATAGTAACGTTAACTCTTACCTCTATCTCTAATACTATACGTGTTAATTTATTATATATATCTTCTTATCTTACCAATTTC